GATAAAGGCATATGCGATGGATTATGTAGAAGTTATTTTCATAAAAACCCTTTAGAGACTGCCAGGGACACAATTCTAAGAATTTTATGGGTGGGATCCTAAAATAATGATATTGAGTAACAGTGAACAATGTAAGCAATTATACAGGTATTTTTTTATTGACTCTGAGAGATTTGAGGCGTTTATCGAGATAAGCCCCTGTGGTCTAAGTATGTTATTTTCTGGTTTTGCTTGACAATAAGAAAGCCATAGGACAGGTAATTAGCCCATACCTTATACTGTCTTGGATTCGTTTGTCAAACTGGTCTGTAACATCTAATCACCCAACCTGAGTAATGACTGAATGTCTAAGAACACAGGTGGTATTCTGTGTTCTTGTTTGAAACAAGAGCTTCCAAGTACCAGATGTAGAGGACATGGTTGACTTTTTTTTTTTTTTTTAATATTTATTTATTTATTTGTACAGAACTGGGGTACAGGCCAGAGATGCGGAGGGTGAGAAGATTCACCAGAGACAGAGTGGGGAGCAGAACAGGCAGATCGACGAAGCACACTGCTGAGGGGAGCAGCGGGTGGGTCAGGAGAGGTCTGCCACACCATGTGGTCACCTCCGGGGCAGGCAGGAATCGAACTCATGCGGAAGTGGCTTTAGCTTCTCAGTGCTGTGCTTTAACCCGCTGCGCCACCAGGGAGGGCCCGGACATGGTTGACTTTTTATTGGAAGTAAACATAGTAAACATGCCTGACTTTAGTTTTCCCCTAGCAAAAATGGAGATCGTAGTCACAGGAGGTAAGGCCAGGGGGATGACTGTGGGCTCGATTAAAATATTCTTGAATTTTGAAATTTCTCAGGTATTTGAAGTACTTGGGCAGGATCCCAGAGCTGTGTGCCATAAAGCATAGAGAGACTCTCTTAGCATGGAACTGCTCAAAAGGCCTGCAGTAGTAACAAAGGAGAACTGAGATGTCCCCCAAAACTACCACCACCCCTTTAATGGGCCTCCCACTGTGCGTGACTCGAAGAGCACGCTAACCTCTGGAAGGTATTATTTAGTTCTGTCCATTTGTGTTTCTTTTTATTTTAATATGTGCCCCAGTGTATCCAAAATATATAATACTAGCATGTAATCAGTATAAAATTGAGCTCCATCTTTTATTTATACTCTCTTCACAATAAGGTGTGTGTATAGCACATCTCAATTCAGTTCCTGAGTCTCACCGTCACATTTCAAGTGTTCAATAGCCACATGAGGCCAATGACTCCATATTGAACCATTCTAGAATCTATACTTCTAGAAATGTGGAAGTTGTCCCTCTAGAAAGTTCACCCTGACTCCCTCCTAAATTTAAAGAATGTCTTCAATTAGCCTAGTAGATATTGCCAACACATTCAGTTGTTTTTTAGGCTGATCTTAGTGATTAATAGACATCAGTTCAGCTGCATGGTGTGTGTGTGTGGGGGGGAGGGTTGCTCATAAAATTGCTGCATTATTTGTATATTACTTAGTACCACTTGGAGGATCCTGCCATAAAATTCTTTGTAGCTATCTCATCCTGATGGATTGTAGGTCTCCCTAAAATTAAAGTGTCAGCTGAGTATCTGTGAAAAGATATGAGCAAATTTTTAAAGAAACTTATTGGATCCACTTGCCTTATAGCAAAGAAGTGAGTTATTTTGTAGAAGGTGATGAAAGTCTGTTCTCTGAATTTAAAAAATAAGCAGACTGTAGCAAGTTCACATTCTGTCTGAAGTAAGTTCAGGCAACTTGCATCCTATCTCATAAGAAAGTTTTTTTTTTTTTACTATTAGCTTAAATCAGTATGCAAATACGGTCCAGTTAGTACGATCGATGAATGTTTAAGTTACTTTGTTATGGGCTTTCAGGGAAGTAATTTTTTTTTAAAGATTTATTTATTTGTGCATACAGAGTTAGGGTACAGGCCAGAGGCTCAGGGGCGGTGAGAGGCTTCACCAGAGACAGAGCGGGGAGCACAACAGGCAGAACGACGAAGTACACTGCTGAGGGGAGCAGCGGGCCTGTCAGGAGAGGTCTGCCACGCCATGTGGTCATCTCTGGGGCAGGCGGGAATAGAACTCATGCAGAAGTGGCTTTAGCTTCTCAGTGCTGTGCTTTAACCTGCTGTGCCACCAGGGAGGGCCCTCAGGGAAGTAATTTTTATAAAATGGTCAGGGGAGATACTTGCATTGGAGATCTGAGAAGTGAGTGAGTTCGTTACAGAAAGAGCATTCCAGGTAGTAGGAAGAAGTGTGAAGGCTGTGAAGTGGGGAGAGCGTATTCGAGGAATGTAGAGGAAGCCAGTGTGACTGATGTATGGTAAGCAAGGGAGGATGTATTTTGAGATGAGCTAGTTCTCAAATTGACTTGAAGCCAGAGTTCTCAGATTGCCTCACAGTATTACATTTTTTTTTTTTTTTGCATATACAACTGGAGTTGGTTCTATTGACCTAGTACAGAAGTGCCTTTGGTATTATACCTTTGTGACCTCAGCTTTCACTGAGGTCTGCAATAATGGCTGACTCAGGAATACACTAGGTAAAATAATACATTTTTTGTTGAAATGGAAGTTTGAGATAGCTGTAGATTTGGATGCAGTTACAGGAAGGATAGTAATAGAGAGATCCTATGTACCCATCACCCAAAGGGTGTTTTTCCAATCTAGTCTTGAAAAAAGTACAGTACAGTGAACAACCAATATTGTTCAATGTTACCTTTGATATAGTCAAGCCAAAACCAGATTTATCACCACAACAATGTTTCCTATTGCCTAATTGTAATCACAGCCACTGTTAACCTCCCCCACCTCTATACTTCTCTTTATTGAATATATTGCCTTTGTCTGGCTTTAGTATCTGGATACTATTTTCTTCATAAAATTAGTTGGAAACTATACCATCCTCATCTTGTTTTCTGGGGAGATTTGTGCAAAATTCAATTAAATGTTAGGTTGACTCTTCTGGTTTTGGTCGGTCTTCCTAGAGGTTTATCAGTTTTTTATTCTATTCCCCCTACCTCCAAGAATCTGATTTTATTTCATTGGTTTTCTCCACTTTCTGTTTTCAGTTTTCATTGATAACTTCTATTATGGTTACTTTCTTCTGTACCTTATTTTATACTTATTTTGCCCACTTTGTAGTTTCTTTTTTATTTAACTTTTATTGATTTGCCACTAGTGTACATAACTATATAATGTGGGGAGTATAATTGCACATGTGTGCTTGCCTCACCTGCTCTTTCCCAAGACTCCAGAACAGAGCCTTTTCTTCCCTCTCCCCTCCTCCCACCCCCTCATTCACTTTGGCAATCAGTATATTAGTCACAGAGTCTAAAGTTATCCTGGCCTTCTCAGTTTGTTCTCTTTCAGTACTTATATTCCACAAATGTGCAAGACCATCTGTTAACTGTCTTTCATTTTCTGATATATTTAGCTTAGTAAAATTACCTTAAGATCCATCTATCTTGCCCCCCAAAGCATTCTATTGTCTTTTTGATGGCTGAGTAGTATTCCATTGTGTATAGATTCCACAGTTTTTATCCAGTCATCTGTTGATGGACATTTAGGTTGGTTCCATGTCTTGGCTGTTTTGAACAATGCTGCTATTCTCGATCTAGGAACTTTAGGTTTTTGATTTGAGCAAATAATGCTCTCAAGGACCCTCTACAAATATAAAATACTTAAATTTAGTGTCCCACAATAAACTAAAGATAAGGATGTCTAGTGTAAAACTTGAATTTAGTGCCTGGAGATATATCTTTAGATACTCCAAACCAATGTTTTGTTTCTTCTGACTACCAAGGATGTCAGTGCCAGCTTCCCTATTTTGATTGGTTTCTAGTTTGGGTTTTGCCATCTGCTTTTTTTTTTTTTTTTTTTTTGCTTGTTTATACTAAATGAACAAATTCTTATTTCCCCATCTTTTTTTTTTTTTTTTGGAATTACAACACAGTGCAGGTTCAGATTACGTTTTCTCACCACAGCTGCCATCAAATGCTCATGTGCTAGCTACCACCAGCCTCATGCCATTCCTCTTTAGAAGTGTGATCCTTCCTTGGATTGGAAAGGAAAACATACTAAATAATACTTATTTCAGTATTCACTCTTTCTGGCAATGGAATAACCTATTGAATATTTATCTCTTCATTAGTAAGGGTTATCAATCATTTGATCACTTGTCTACACTAGACACACAAGCACATCCCAGAATACCTGCACCTCATGTAGAGGATTAATTTGGAAAGTGATGTTGCTTTGAGGTTTCAGCTGAGGTGGTTTTTTTGTAAATCATGAGTTATTCTTGGTAAGGAACCAAGTATGGGTATTAAAACTTTTACTTTATGGCAAAAAAAAACCCCTAGTCTATATTTAGAGTAACTTCCTATGGCATTTTTTAAAGCAAGATCTACTGATTGGACCAGAGTGGTTAGCATAGAACGAGGGCAAGGATTGTAGCTATTTGGCTCTCCATTTAGTCTTGGACCACCAAGTGGAGAGACAGGCATATGAGTATTTAGTATTTTGTGGAACAACTGCCATGGTAAATGGGGTGTACTGTCTTCTGTAGAAGGCATTATTATGGGACAGTAGTGACTGCTTCTTACCTGATCTTTTTACTTTTGTTATCTATCGATTGTAGCAGTCACTGGTAGTGTATCAAATTTGTGTCCCCATGTCATGTACTAGTGGCCACTTACTGAAATTATGGTCCAGTGTCATATAATTATTTTCACTAATCTTTTTCATGTCATGCCACATGTAAAAATAGGTAATACAGGTAGAGTCTACTGGAGTAAACTAAGGCAGTGATGGTTCTTCCAAGGCATCCCCTGAAGTTAGAGGGGAGCAATGTCCACATGCAGCTGTAACCCATCCATAATATACTTCTTACCAGTATATTAGCTATGCTTTTTCTACTGCCTGTGGAAATATAATATAATGCTTAAAAATCTCATTATTTTGCTGTTCTTCCTTTCCTACTATAGTGTGGAAATTGGTGAGAGTGTACGAGGAGAGGATGTCTATATTGTTCAGAGTGGTTGTGGTGAAATCAACGACAATCTAATGGAACTTTTGATCATGATTAATGCCTGCAAGATCGCCTCCGCACGCCAAGTTACTGCAGTCATCCCTTGTTTCCCTTATGCCCGGCAAGATAAGAAGGATAAGGTAGGAGCAGAATCCTCATTTTATTTATACGTTTTTAATTAGGGGACGCAGAAGCACTTGTCCAAAGTCAGTAAAAAGTTTGTAGCCACTAAAATCACCATCTTTTCTTAGGTCTTACCCCGTCTTCAAAACATTAAGGCACGTGATCGGTTTAAGTAGCTCAACACATTTATAATCTGCAGAGTTTACTACAGTCAAATTTACATGAGTGACATGGAATTAGCTCACTGCCAATTTTCAATTCTATCTGTAAGACTAAGCAACTCCCATGGAGTAAATATTTTTTAAACTATAACCATTTAAGTTCTCTGGGACCCTCTTGGGGTTCTAGTTGAGACTGCATCTCACATCCGCACATATGTGTGCTTGTCTTATTTATCTAGTTCTGTTGGAGGATACAACATATACATAGAACTTTGTGGGGCTGTTATAATCAGTGCCCAAATTTTACACCCACTGCATAGAAATTGGGTATATAGTGTGGAGGTCATGGGCTTTGCTATTTTACTGTGCTGCAGATGTGGTCATCCATTATTTAAGGGGGATTTAGGTTGCTGGAAGGTTGACCTTCACATGAGTAAGTGGTCTGGGATCATTACAGATAAACTATAATTTTTATTCTGTGATGTGGCCATAAAACTTGACATAGTAAATGTTAAGAGAGGTTTGAGAAGTTTTTTTTTTAAGTCTGCCTGGGTCATAACTAAACTTGGGAATGCATAGACTGGATATATACATTAAGAAAATGAAAGGTATGTAGGTATTTTCTTCTGAAATATGTATCCTGAGTTTGAAATATGTATCCTGAGTTTGAAAATTTGAGCTGAACTGTGATCTACTCAGAGTCAGTGGCCAAGTCCCTTTCTTTGAATTTCCCAGTAGTCCTGTGCCTTAAATAGTAGTAGGTGTTTCTCATTGTATTTTTTTTTCCTTTCCCTTCTTTTCTTTAGAGCCGGGCTCCCATCACAGCAAAGCTTGTTGCAAACATGCTATCAGTTGCAGGTGCAGATCATATTATCACCATGGACCTGCATGCTTCTCAAATTCAGGTATCTCTGAGAGCTAAATATTGGGAGTTAAAAAGGTGGAGAAAGAAGACTGATAGTGCTGAACACTGCAGAAGAGCAAAACAACTGCTCATAAACAGCACAAAGAAACTTGACATTGGCAACGTTTTAAACATACTCACTTCAAGCTTAGTTCATGGCCATAGTCATTTGGGGTAGTTGGATAGGGAGACATTCTCTTGCTCTAGGAATATCGTAGGTGTTGGTGATTGATTGATTGAATACTAGCTCTGAAACGTTCCACTTTTGTAATTTAACTTCTGAACATGACACTGCTTTGTTATTGTATTAAATAAGATTTAAAATTCACAGTATATGTCTGGCTCAGTATAATGTGTGGCACAGGTACTGAATAAATGGAAACTTTTACTGTCATCATTATTAATTCTCTTTAATATTCAGGGTCTTAATTTGGAGCCACAGATATTGGAACCCACAGCAAGCAGTTCCTGAAATAATGAACGTAATTTCATTCAGCACCATTTCCTTATAATGTTGATGAGAGAAAAGCAATCGAAGCCACCATTGAAGGAATGAAGCTATTTGAGGACTTGCTTTCATTATATATCCTCATATACATCATATAAATTGAGTTCCCAAGAACCTATCAATGACATTATGTGAAGACTTAGTATATACTTTCTAACATAAACCTAGAGTAAAGGAATTGGAATGCACCTTTTAAAGAGACTTTCAGATCATCGTTTGAGGCTTATAGTAATCCAATAGTGTACATAGGGCAAGTAAGAATTATACCCACTTTATAGAAGAGGGAACAAATCAGTTTGAGAAACACAACTAATCTGTAATGACTAATTTAAACACAGATCTGCCTTGTAAAACTGACTCTTATAAATCCCTTCCACTGAGTTTACATACTCTATTGACTAACTGCTTTGCTGCTTGGCTTTAACTTCCTCATAAACCAGCCCAACATTTGGTCAGCATAAAGCAGTAAGGATTTATGAAATCAAGAGTCTACACACTGGCTAGGCAGATTTGCTGAACTTGGCCCTTCTACCCTAAGGGGACATTCGCGTGTGCCTGTGTTTGGTTGAGGGTTAGCTGGAGGCTGGTTCATTGGTCCTGGCTGGATCCTCCTGGACAGCCCAGATTGGAGAAAGCCAGTTTTATAAGCTACCACATTGAGCATGCCTTCTAATCAGTTTGAATGCTACAATAAGGTATTCTTCAGGCAAGTTACTGTTCTCTGTGTCATACGTGGAAGAGAAAGACAGTGAAGCCCATTGACCCCGCTTCTTTCTCCAGGGCTTTTTCGACATCCCAGTGGACAACTTGTATGCAGAGCCTGCTGTCCTGAAGTGGATATGGGAGAACATCTCTGAGTGGAGGAACTGTACTATTGTCTCACCCGATGCTGGCGGAGCTAAGAGGTGTGGTGGAACTTTGTTTTATTCCCAAGGTCCTAGGAAAACCCTGGGTTGTATTAGAACATGATTTTCCTTTCAAGTGACTCTTTTTAAGTACTTCAGAATCAGAGTGCTGGTGGCAGGGACATGAGATGGATATAGTCTTACTTGGTCTTTTACTGGTCTGTGTCATTGTCTGGAAGGTAAGACAGCAGGAAAAGAACCCTAAATAGTGTCTGGGCGTGACTGTAACCTGGCATTCTGTAAAGCTGTCAAGAAGGGTAGAAAATGTGATTTTCTAATGAATGGTATCTGTTGTTGAACCCCATATTGGTGGACAAGTAGGTTTTTGCATATCTCTTAAAATGCTATTGGTTAAACAATCATTTTGATCCTGGGATTGAAATGTTAACACAGGAAGGAAAATGTTGTCATTTGCTTTCAATCCAAGATCTTACTGTTTTAAACAAACTGATTGCCAGCGATTGAGTTGCAGTGATTTATAGCCCACATGGTGCAGACCAAGAGCTCTTGGTTTCCTTAGTGGATCACTCATTAGTAATGTATTCAAAAGTATGACACATGTTCTTCTTGTTGTGGAAATAGAATGAGGAGCTATAAAACAGATGATTAGGAAAAGCTAGTTCAGAGCTTTCTAAAAGCCGTTCAAATCTTGAGACTGTTTCTCAACAACCTCTTATTTCAGTAACTTCAATAGAACTGATAAGCTGAGAACTTGAGTTCTGTCATCCGGCCAGGTGTGTGGCTTTGAGTCCCATGTAATCACTAGTAACCACGTGTAATGCCAAAGAAAGGGCCTAAACAACACTCCTGATGGCAGTTGTCGTATTTGTTGCACATTATTTTCCCCTCTTGCCATGGGACTCAGAAACTAGTCACATTTGAAAGGCTCAAGGTGGATTTTCTTGTCTAAGTTGTGTGCAGAAAACACTGCCTTCAGTAAGTGACTTATTGCGCCATGGTTTCTTTTGTTTGCTAGTGATTTTCTCGTAGTGATGGAGCATTTTCAAAATGAGCAGCCCTCACGTGTGTCTCGGTCTGGTTGTTGGAGTGTGTAATTATGTGTTGCACATAGCTCTCCTCCCAAGGGTATGGGGAGTAACCTTTTCAGCCCTTTATGCATTGTCAGGTACTGGGGTTGTTGCCCCAGTGAGTGTGATGGTTTGGGATGCTTGAACTACTTGATGATGCATTTGCCTCAAATAAGTAATCGTTCCAAGTAGATCACTTACGGATGATGTAGTGGAGAGCACAGGGCCTGGTTCGTTTTGATCCTGGCACAGTGATGCCTAGGTTGCAGTTCTGGTATATGGGCATAGTTTCCCTCCACCTGCTCCCCCATCTAGCAAAAATCACTCAGATATGTGATTATAATCGCAAAGGAGACTGGACATAATGCTCTGGTTGGGTCAGTGTGCCATTAAAGAACAGGGCAGAGCACAGGCCTCTTGACGAATGACAGCATGGCAGTGGAACATGAATGCACATGTCACTTCTTGGGTGATGTTGTTATTTGTGCTGAGTAAATTTCTGTTTGAATGAATGATACGGGAATGGTCACCAGATTTGTTTGTATTTTGTAATAAGAACAATAATAAGTACAATAAGTGTAATACCACTTTGGCTGGGAAATCCTTTGGGTGAACAGGCAGGTGCCCTGTTTGCTTGGTTAGTTGGTTTAACTTTCTTAACATTCGTAGAAGGAACTCCCAAAGTCAGTGTCCAGGTTCCATTGACATTGACATTGGTGGATCACTACGGGGAGTGATGCGCAGGCATTTGAATAGCTGAATGCTGCTTCTCTCCCACCAGGTTCAGGCTCACTTCATCATGTCCACACATCCTGTTAGGACAATCTGCTCTCCTTGCATTAGCTAGCCAAGTCTTCTCTCTGCCAATTCATTCAATGAATGTGCCTTAGCTTTTTATACTGCTTCCTGAGACTAGTGAGAACACATCTGGCCCCAGCTATAACCCAGTGAATTGTAATCTGAGTCTGACTAGTATATTCATGAGCTGCTCTCAGGATATGGAGTCATCAGTGTAAATTCCAGCTTGTGATGTCAATTATCGTTGCTCTCTTCCAGCCCTGGGAACTGTTGTGGCGTCAAGAAGTCGTCTCCCTCAGAAAACATGCCCATTCTGGATTGCATTTCTTTTATTTTAGGAGCCATACAAACGGTTTTTAAGAGTGAAAACCCTTTTTTGCAGAGTGACCTCCATTGCAGACCGGTTGAATGTAGACTTTGCCTTGATTCACAAAGAACGGAAGAAGGCCAATGAAGTGGACCGCATGGTGCTGGTGGGAGACGTGAAGGATCGGGTGGCCATCCTGGTGGACGACATGGCTGACACTTGTGGCACAATCTGCCATGCTGCTGACAAGTGAGTGCTGGGTAGTGGGACCAGTGGCGAAATATAAAAAGCTCCTGTGATCTTGGTGCCTTAAACCTGCTGATTGTTTTGTAGGAACTGAATTGAGATGAAAACTAGTTTGGGAAATTTTAGGCTTATGTCATAAATACACACTGCTGATGAGTACGTGTTATTTTTACCTCAGATTTCCTTAATTTTTTTTTCTTTGTGCTCAACTATAGAGAAAATAAAATTTGCTATTTTTAAGTATACAGTTCAGTGGTCTTAACTACACTCACAGTGTCAGACAAATATTGCCACTGCATTTCCAAAATCTCCTTATCACTTGGAAGACTACTTTTACTAGATTTTTTTTAAAGATTTATTAAGCATGCAAGAACTGGGGTACAGGTTGGCTTTGGGGGGCAGTGAGGATTCACCAGAGATAGAGTGGGGAGCAGAACAGGCAGACTGACTGAAATACACTGCTGAGGGGAGCAGCAGGAGGGACAGGAGAGGTCTGCCTCGCCATGTCAACTCATGCTGCAGTGGCTGCAGATAACTTTATACTGCTGTAGTTTAACCCGTGGTGCCAGAGAGGCCCTTATTAGATTTTCTAATAAACAAGATAAAAGTCCATTCAGCCTGTAATGCATTCTCATTTATATTGTTCCTAAGCTAGAACATGGCTCTTACCTCTTGACTGTTCATGTTCACTACTGCTATCTTCGCTCACATTACCCTAATCCACAGCACCTGTGTTAACCTTGCTACCAGAACCAGCCTCTTCCCTCTCCATCTTTCGCATTGCCTTCTCATTTGCTAGTCTTTGGAAAACTAATACTTGATACCATTATTACCACTTTTAAAACCTTAAGTGGCTCCCCATTGTTTACAATTCAGGCCACTATGGGCAGCACTGTTCCTCATTTTTTTTTTTTTTAGTTTTCTTAAACTGTAATAAAGTTGTCACTATTTTTACAATACTATATAGGTTTCAGAAGTACCGCTGCACACTTCAATATGCATATATAGAACAGCACCATTACTAAATTTCTAGTGTCATTACCCGGCATCAAATTGATCCCCTCTATGCAGGCCTCCCCTCATCTCCTCTCCCCATTAGTATTTTAATATTCCATGCATAGGCACGTACTAGGTGCTAAAGTCATTTGTATGTTGAATGATTTCTGACTTGGATCCTGGTGTTTACAGAAACCCTTTTGTTATCATATCAGTGAGGTAACACTCATTATTATTTGCCATTTTAGCTACCTGAAATGTCAATATGACACAACACTATCAGGTTTCTTTCCGATTCGTGGTATGTTTCAATGTCAGTAGTCTTGTTTGCATCTAAAGGAGCTGCACCTTAAACATGTGGCCTCCAAGATTACCTTGGAAGACATTTCCATTTGCCCAGCCAAAAAGGGAATAGAACCTAGAGAATCACTCAAAACATTTTTATGAGCCCAACCAGCCAAGAAGTGGTATACAATTTATCTGCCCAAATTTCGATGGCCAGACTTCACTGTATAGCCACAGCAGGCTATGCAAGGGAAATTGAGATATGAATTCCAGCTGTGTGTCCAGGAAGAAGAGGGAGATATCATGAAGCATAGCAATCCACCATAGTCCTGTCCAACTGATCCAAGTCCATTCAGATAAGTAATTAGTCATTGCTCTTGCCTTGCAATGGACTGAATTGTGTCCCTTCCTAAAATTCATACTTGAAGCTATAACTCCCAGTGTGATGGTATTTGGAGTTGGGGTTGTGGGGAGGTAATTAAGTTTTGGTGGATGGGGGCCTTGTGATGAAGGTACCAGAGCATTCATGCTGGTTCCCCACACCTGGTGAGCACTCAGCAAGATGGTGGCCATCAAAAGGCCAAAGAAGACTTAAAATGAAACCTACCGTGTTGACACCTTGATCTTAGATTTCCCAGGCTCCATAGCTGTGAGGAATAAAGTCCTGTTGATTAAGCCACCCAGTCTATGGTATTTTATTATGGCAGCCGAAGTTGACTAATGCACTCCTTACGTAATTCAGGTTCTGTCATGACAAGTAAGGTTAATCTAGATCAACTCTGCTTTTTCCCCTAGACTTCTCTCAGCTGGAGCCACAAGAGTTTATGCTATCTTGACTCATGGAATCTTTTCTGGCCCAGCCATTTCTCGTATTAACAACGCATGCTTTGAAGCAGTAGTAGTTACCAACACCATACCTCAGGAGGATAAGATGAAGCATTGCTCCAAAATACAGGTGAGGGTGGCATTCTTGTAACATAAGATTCCACTAAGAATTTACAGTGTGGGGAAATGTTGAATTAGGTGCCTGAAGTCCGAAAATTTCCTCTTCTGCTCTTAATGGTTTAATCTGTCAACATGTTTGTGCTCTTAAGGGTTTAGTCTGTCACATTGTCATCCAAAAGGGGAAACATCGTGTGTTTAAAAATTCAGATTGTTTCACCTCAGTCTCTGGAGGATGGAACCTAGGGTTTTACCTTTACCAGGCTCTTCCAGTGATTGTGACAGACGCTCATGGTAGCAGGCCCATGCTTTAAAGTATGTACATCACTCTTACCTTTTGGCCTTTGCAGACACAATGTGGAATTTTTGAGCTGCTGGTACATTCCTTAAAATGTCAGTGTTTTTCAAAGTGTGTTCTGGAAACCAAAGTGAATTACTTCTAGGGTGCTTGATTGCATTGCTCCATCGAAGACCTACAAGATTGGAGAGCCTCAGACCAGTACTTGAGTTCTTCAAGTAATTATTAGACATTAATGTTTGAGTGCTGTTGCACTGAAAGAGCAAGGCCTTGCTTCATTAAAAATGTGTGCAGTAATCCATTAGCTTTGTGAATTTTATATGTGGAAGGCTGTCATTTTAGGGGATTTTATTTTCAGCCAAAAAAAAATTTTTTTTTTTTATTTCTAAGAATTTTGAAATGCCAGCCTATCACCAGACTTGGTGAGTCTTGCTAGGCTTTTCCTCCATCAGTATTTTAACTCTTTCCCAAGTGATGAGATTGAAAAGGTTACGAAGATAAGCTGGATGTAACTTCATGAGGGAAAAAGGCACAGTGCAGCACCCTTCGTTAAGCTCCTAGGTATCTACAAATGGTCGCAGTCGTCTCTGCCTATAGGATACTAACCCGATGCTTTTCCCACCTTCCTAGGTGATTGACATCTCCATGATCCTCGCAGAAGCCATCAGGAGAACTCACAATGGGGAATCGGTTTCTTACCTGTTCAGCCACGTCCCTTTATAATAGAATAATTGACCAAGGCTTTTTAAAAATAAACTGAACCCCGTCCCTGTTTTCCCTTGATATTTGGTGAAAATTTGAGCAAGAAGACCCAGCTTGCTCTAGTGTAGTTGACTAAGTCCCACATCAGGTCTAATAAATAGTGTTTCTCCTGATTTAGGGGAAGACAGGTTGAGATTAACTGCTGATATCTCCTACCTGCATTGTCTCGTTCTGGTTACTTCGTTTTTGTGAGTCTTGCAGCTTTACAGAGCAGCTATTGTAAGATTTCAGACTTTGGAGGGTGTTATATAGGGGTATTTGAATTTGATTTGGGAACTTCGACTACTTTGCATGTGAATGCTTCAGGGTTTCCTTGGTTCAGACCTACTGGCAACAGAGCCAGCCTCGTCCCTTACCTCCACCCTGTATGCCTCTCCCCACCCCATATTTGATAAGCTCTGTGAGGTCTATGTTATATTACTGAGGAGCCCTGGTTGCCACGCCCCTGGAAAGTAGGAGCTGGCCGCCCTCAGCTTCAGCAGCTCTCAGGCAGGAGCCTGAGTGGATGCAGCACAATGTGCTGCAAGTATTTCTTGGGAGGAAAAAGCCTGATCCATCACCCTCATCTTAGGAACTGTTACTTGGATTCTCCTTAGTACCTGTTCCTTTCCACTTTGGCTTGACTTTCAGCCATCTTGACCTTTTCCTGGCCAAATGTCCTCTTGGGCCCAAATGACCATTGTTCCCATAGTCTTCTGGAAATCAAACTCACTTCCTGCTCTGCTCTGTAATCTCTAACATTTCCATGAGATGACTTGCTCTGTAGCTTAATCTTACTTAGCCTACCACCACTGTGGTAGTAGGTTTTAGGTCGTGGTGTAGTGCCTTTTGATTAATTTAAATATTTAATTTTCATCTTTCTTTCTTGGATCTATTTGGCCTCTCCTATGACCTGAGATTTCTGTTAAAAAGATTGTTACTGTCTCTTGTAATAGACAAGACTAATAAAGTGTCTGTGTGTGTCCATGGGTCTATGTCTTGTCAGTACTGGTCCCTCAGCCAGAACTTTTTTAGGTATCTTGCCACCTCACGGTAGCTCTAATTTGTGTCTAAATTTTAGCTATGTTGCTAAGCCAAGAGAAGGCATTAGCAGCAGTTTTAATAGTAATAAGACTTAAATGTCTGGGGTTTATTGAAAATTAGATACAGTATGAGTATACATTTCGTGATATGCAAATGATTGAATAAATAATACTTGTGGAATCTGGTTCTTATTCTTGGGGGTGGGAGTGGGATGACTGTAGGAATTAGGTATATTCTTTTTTTTTTTTTAAAGATTTATTTATTGTGCATACAGAACTGGGGTACAGGCCAGAGACTCAGGGGTGGTGAGAGGTTTCACCAGAGACAGAGTGGGGAGCAGAACAGGCAGATTGACGAAGTACACTGCTGAGGGGCGCAGCGGGCGGGTCAGGAGAGGTCTGCCGTGCCATGTGGTCACCTCCGGGGCAGGCAGGAATCGAACTCATGCGGAAGTGGCTTTGGCTTCTCAGTGCTGTGCTTTAACCCACTGCACCAGCAGGGAGGGCCGGAATTAGGTATATTCTTATAAGAGAATAGTTTCTAGTTTATTCCTCTTGGACTAACTTTGCAAAAGGGGGTCACTTCCCCTCACCCTTTTGGTAGTTGAGGTGTATCTCACATTTAATTTCAACACTTTAAAGATTATTTGGTGAAGGGCAAAACTTATGGATGAATTATAATACATTCTAAACGTTTGAGTGAATTTCTTAGTGCACTATCAAATTATGGCGTCCTTTGACTCTGGAAAGCTACATGCTCCCCGAGATCTGTGCAGAGCATGTCCCTTTGAAGCCTGATTCCCCTTTTGTTTTTGCTTTGTGTCGAATATTGGGATATCTACTTTACAACGTCTATGGAAAAAAGTGATTGAAAGGGGGCCAAGGTGAACTGGAAACTGTGGCTCTGACCTTCTAGGCACTTCCACTTTGAGTCTCCTGGGAGAAGCTGACCTGGAGCTTCCATGCTGTAACTTGCTGGCTGTGCTGTTTCCGGAAGCAGTGGGGCTGTTTATTAGGGATTTCCATTGCAATATATTTTGACATAAGACTTCTACTGTGGACTGCTTTACTAATCCAATTCCTAGGATAAATCTTTGAGGTAGGAAAGGTCTTCACTCCCAATCTTCTGATCCCTATGCCTGGGGGTGGGGTGCATGGGACAGGAAGTGAACATTCAGCTCCCTGTGACTCTTCAGGGTGGTCCTTTTTTCTCCAGGGGTGATAGCCCTGTGTCCTGAGTTACAAGTGATTCTTGCCTATATGGAACAGTGGTGGTAACAGTTCCGCTGGAATCTGAAGAGGAGGCACCAGAGCTGAAATGGCAGTGAGAGTTCAGTGGAAACTACCTCTAGTGACCACATGATGGCTTCTGAGCCAGAGGCATCACCAGGTTCTTTGCCCCACACACTCAGAACCAGAGAAAAGATTACGTAGACCAAGGATAAGCTTGTCTCTCCCCCAAGCTAATGCTTTTTTTCTTTAAGCTAATGCTTTTTATAAAAGATTTATTTTATCTCCAGTTGGGGCTTCTGGTCTTCTCAGATTTTAGAATATAAATGTTCCCTGCTGAAGAATTTCGTTTGCTTGTTAAGAGTGTTACCCTTAACTCGAGGGTTGTTAGAATCATATAAATGTCTGAAATAAAAAAAAAAAAACACTATCTCCCTTTCTGCCATCCTCTTTTTACTAGCTCTGGTAGTGGGAGAGAGGGAAAAGCCTCCCTTGAAGGAGTCTAGTTATTGGTGGCACCTCCCCCCACAAAAAGCAGGATGAAGGAAGATGGGCCCAGGGCCCATGGCTTAGACTAGAAGCCACTGAGGGAGTAAATGGTCTATTTGAGAAAATAACCATTACATTCCCTCAAGAAATGGAACCAGCCTCTCATCCTTAAATCTGTATCTCCAGTCTTCAGCCAGGCGCTGCTTCAGTTTCTTGGCTCCTGGAGCCCTGAGCCGTGACTTCCTGTGCTCTTGGTTCTCCTTTGCCCTGCCTTTTCCACATATCCATGCTCATTCTCCTGACTAAGCCTTTTGTAACTCCTGTGGTAAAACCAATTGGTTATAAGAAGGCCTTGTGTATTTGGAGTCTTCTGGAACCACCCACATGGTCACCAGGGTCATCTCTGCTGTTACCTCATAGCTGCAAATGGGAGAAAGGTGGGTTAGAATAAGTACGACCCTGGGGGCTAGGAACACACCCAAGTTAATTCATACTTTAAGCCAAGGATTAACCAAAAGTGCCTATTAATTGGCTGGCTCACCTATAAGTATATTCTAAGGCTCAGCCTTTTTTGCAAGTGATTATCCCAAAGTTCACCAGTGGCCTCCCTGCCCTCAGTACCAGTCATTGACTCCTGAGCCAACAAAAGAGCCAGCTTCTGTGACAAGGTCATGGCTTAAAAGCAAGGGTGCTATAGCTGAAGGTCCCCCTCTTTACTCTTTCGCCATGTCGTGAAGCCTTTTCCTCACTTGCAGATTTTTGCCATTCTCAAGACTCCTGCTTTAAGAATAAAAGTATCCAAATTTTATGTTCTGTAGCATCACTTCAGGCATCTTTCAGTCTTTTTTCCCCACTCTTCTGAGTGTTTGCAGAAGAGGAACAGGGGAACAGAGATGTTAAGGGGGGCACCTTCAGATGCCTTGTAATAAGAGTGGGTAGGGAGGGTGTCTGGTACACATGGCCGTGAGTTCTCCCATTGCTCAGGTTACTCAAAACTGCCAGGCAGTCCACGTTAGTTGCCTCAGAAGAGATTATTCTGGTAAAATACAAACCTGTGTGGTAAGAATGTTTGAGAGAAGATTGTGAGGTTACACTTAAAGTCAGAAGTTCAGGTCACATGTTAGTTGTCAAATCTAAAAGAAATTCTGGTTTCTGAGTTTTTGCTGCAAGTTTGGCAATCAGGAATGTGACTTGCAGTCATTTGGTGCACTTGTACAGAACGCTTCAGATGGGGAAAGAGGTCAGTTTCTTTTGAGTTTCTCATGAGAATATGAAACAAGGGGTTGAGATATATAGAGAATAATATGAAGAAGCAACAGCCCTTTCCTTAGAGCGTCAGGAAGTGGTATTTAACCTGGAATATGAGAGACCTGTGAGAATGATTTAGTTGCTGCCCTACATAACCCCAATAATTGCAAAAGTCAATGGTATAAAGGGCCTTGTTTGGCCCTTCAGTCTTGTCCATCCTGAGGGCTTTCCTGTCAGCACAGAGGCCCATGAGAATGTAGACATCTTGATCACCACCTGCCTTTTCCCTCTCCCACACGCTTCCTGCCAGGAAGCCTGAATATGCTTCACATTGGATGTTCCTCAGTAGATGTTGCTACGAAGCTTCTTGGGCTCTCCATTGTTTTCTGAGGATGTGCCTTTGGTGGCTTGCTTGCAGAGTGAAAGAAAGTCAAAGCGGCAGAATACCTTTTCCAACCTAGTCCTTCCTTGGTAGCTTTACCAGCTTAGAACCTCAGCAATATAGCAAGCTTCTTGCTCTGACTGACTGAGCACCCCGTTTATATGACCATCTTTGCTGCTGGCCCATTATATGTCCTCAGTGGCAGCCTGGTGTCCTCTACCCCAAACCCCAAGGGAGACCCAAAGCTTTCCACCGGCCTTCAGAGTCAGACTCCGCCATCTCTCACCTCTCCTGAGTTCTTTTCCCCAGTAACTCCTTCACTATCTCAGCTACCAACTGCAAAATTAAAACTAGGGGTGGAGGAGAAACTCATTTTGAGGCAAAAATCGCTGAAACTCTCCAGTCAGGTTACAATAGGTTAGACTCATTCCTCTCATCTCTGTTTTGTGCGTGTGGTTTTCATTTTTTGCTTTTTTTTTTTCCTAACTGGAGCAGTTCTTGTAGTCTCCAAGTGCCACACTCACATCCATGCACTGCCTCAGCTGGGTCTTACTGCTTCACCCATATAGTTGCCATGACTTCCTTCACATCTTGTGGTTTCGATTCAGGATCTGATTATAAAACAAAACAGGACAGCTGGCTCCGACCACTCATTTTGCCTGGGCAATACACCTATCTTCAGCATGTAAGTCTGTGCCACGTGGACCAACTTTTAGTCATTACCCTCAAAAATATCTCGGGAGTCCTTTGAGGACACTGTGGGTGGGGAATTCGTGCTGCAGGAGGGGCTGCAGGGAGAGATGAGAGGAGCTTGATGAGGGGTTGAGGGGTGGGCTGCCCTGAGGTCAAAGCCTCCTGGCTGGGGTCCCTTCCCTGGCTTCCCTTTCCGGAAGCCTCTACCTGGCCCACAGGGCCTGTCGCTACTGCCCAGCTGCCACCAGGGGGAGCCGAGCAGAGGCTGAAGGGAAGGACAACGGCAGGAATGGCTCAGAGCTCAGGAGAGCGGGAGACTCAGCCAAAGCTCCAGCCTCCCCCAGGTCCTTCCGTCCCTTTGTCCCCTTTTTGTCCTCCAGCAGCCAGGGTGACAACACGGTGCCCAACTGTCACTTATTCAGCAGATGGGAAAACACATCGAGCACCGTGCTAGGTTCTAGGAACATAGAGACCTGCCGCACAAGGAGGCACTCTCCTCTAGCAAGGGACAATACAACGAGATGTGACAGTGACTGAGAATCAGGAAGAACCAGTTGCCATGGGAGCACCAGAGGGCACCTGAGCCATCGTTGGGAGTCTGGGAAGATTTCCTGGAGAAAATTATTTTGATTCTTATAGCAATTGATTAAAAGTTGGCCAAAGAGAGGGGGTTTCAGGCAGATAGAAAAGCTGCTGCTTTCCTGGCCACCCAAAGGAATGCCACTGTGTGTGTGTGTGTGTGTGTGTGGTTTTGGGGTAGGATTAGGAGCTGTGCTGAAGAACTGAGCTGAACATACACCTATCTTCCCAGCATACTTGTTAATAACGCCCATTTCACTCTAAAATTATCCTGGTTTGGATGATATGGTAACTTCATTATGTGCACACGCTACTTGTAAA